TAAGAAATGTGAACCGTGCAGAACCCAACCGCCTTTGAACTTAGAACCGAACCGCTCCGAAACGCCCTTTGCGCGAACAGAAACGAACCGAATGGAACCGTGTACTTCCTGTGATTTGTCTTTGGCCAGAATCAGACCTGACTTTTGTATCGCCTCACTGTATGCCATGTAGCACGCAGCCAGTCGTCTGGCAGCAGGTTTGCTGTGTCACTCAACGACGTCCACGCCAATGTCATCGACCCAAGTAGTGATGCTGCTGGGCAAGCGTCGACTCCCGAGCTCCTGCGCAATATCCCAAAGAAATACTTGAACCACGCTGGTGGCCATAGGGCAACCAGCAACTACACCTTTCACTGGCGTAATACGCACGCACAGCAAATGATGGAGGAGCAGCGGCGGGAAAGACAATTCCAGCGCCTTGCTCGCCAGGTCGCGTAGGTCAATGGTGTCATAAAAACGTCGCAAATCGGAAAGGAAAGTACACATGCGCAGTTGCGTGCCAGCGGCTATTTCTCAGCTTTCATCTGCCGCATTGACGCAACCTCGAAAATGCTGCCTCCGAGAACAGCCTTATCCCAATGCGGTTTAACGCCAACTTCGTGCTGCCAGCGGAGTGAGCAAGAACCTCCTCACGCGACATCAAAGGCGGTAAGCAATCACTGAGGCCCGCGCCCTGTCGAATCAATGCGACCATACAACAGAGCCAACCCAGAAAACGCTTCAAAGGGGCCTTCCAATCCGCAAACTCGAAACCCTCTAGTCCTCCCTTCTTGTTGTCCATCTCAAGCAAGGTAAATCTAACTTTTCTACTGGAGATTGGCCTCAACTCAGCCGCTTGTTCGCGCGCAAGTTGCCTGATGTGCTCCCGAGCGGATTGTCCTCTAACTCAGGCTCGTGAGTGGCCCATAGCCTCTCCCAACACTGCCTCCTGGCAGCAGCACGCTGTCCATATGGCAGATGTTAAAATGGCCTGTCAGGGATGCCTTTAGGCTGGTTAAAATATTGGCGCGCTTGCTTCGCCGCACCCAAAACAGCTTTGCGCGCCCAATCCCTGAGCTCTTCGGTATTTTGTTGCGCATGAGCTTTGACTGCCCTCTGACGCATCGCCTCAAGCTGCTGCTCAGCCCTGTCCAGAATGCCTTCAGTGGCAATGGGAAGCTTTTGCAACACGTACTTCAAACCAATGGCAGAAAAGGGGCGGTCAACTCCCTCCAACCAATGAGCACACATGGAACCAGTCAACTTCACAAGCATCAGACGCGCGTCAGATTTTCGCGCACCACGACCACAATTTCTGGTCGTGTTGAAGTGTCGCGCGACCAAAAAGCAACATCAGACCCTTTCCACTCCTTGCCTTTAGGGCAATCCTCAACCCTCAACCTATCTTCAAAGCGAAGGACACAACCTCTGCCTCTGGGCACAGTGGCAACAGTGGTTGCATTCCAGTCGCCAGCTAATACCCGTGGACACTGCAGCGTCCTTACTAGCCCAGTCAACTGTTGCAAGATGTTGCGATTTGCATCGGAAAACAAACCCTCAAGGTAGCCGGACACCAGACGTGCAGTCTGTCTTTGCCATCTGAGGAAACCGTAACCCGTGTCTGAACGAGCTCCTTGGCTGCCAACCCATACGCTTCCTGATTTGGATGGACGGGCTTCCTCTCGTTCCACCATTGCCGGTGTCAGGCCCTTCCAGCTTCCAACCCTGCTTCCAAAAACGGAGCTTGGCCGCGCCCCATTTTGCCTGCCTGCCCTTGGTGGTGCGCCTGTATCAGGCGACCTCGACCCCAGGAGGCAAACGCTGCATCTGCAGACAAGCCAGTGATGTTGGCCACAAAAAAACTCCAGCTTGGGTTGACCGGTCGGCGACTGGAAATGACCCGCTCGAAACGCAGATTGCGACCCCCGCGTTGCTTCATCATCCTGAATCGTCTCCACGCGACGCCTCTTGGAAGCCGGGTCTTCCTGAACAAGCTGCTGGAGAGCCTGCTGGTCGCTCTCAGGCAGTTTTGAACCGATTTTTCTCAACCAGCTCACACATCCTGGCCTCACGATCGCATTGCTCAACCTCCAACCCAGCCTTTTTAGCCTTTGGCCGCCCTGGCCAGGGCTTCCGCCAAGCCTGGCGCTGCGTCTGGCACAGTTGGCTCCAGCTGCGCCTGCAGGACCTTTTCCTGGTAGGCTTTGGAGCTCCATTCCACCTGCGCCTGAGTGTCCGTAAGCTTTTGCTGTACCTTGGCCAACTGCTCCTGCTGTTCATCGAGCACTGCCTTGTTTTTACCAATTCTCCCTTCAAGGGCCAGCCTCTGCTGCCCAATGTCCTGGAAATTGCCACATGCTTGTTTGAAATGCTTTGGCATGGCTGTCCAATGTCCTTCCAACACTGCTCGGAGGAACTGCCTCCATTGTCCATCTGAATGAGCAAGGGTGCCGTCCTCGGCCACCTGCGACTGGAGCTTGGGCTTAATAGGAGGCGCTGGCCTCCAAACATGTGCTCCTGGATTCGCCCAAGACGCTGGTCCCCCATTTTTGTGTGTAATCACGTTGGTCCCTTCCAACTCCTTTCAGAGGTTGTTGGCGAGCACCATCCCCAATTCTGGGACCACGGAAAACTCCAAGGACTGCCACACATATTGCACATGCTACTGGCCCCTTTGCGAGGCACCCAAATCCAGCTATTGCACCCTTTGTTGGCGCATACAAGGTACCCATGTCTTCCAGGCATTATGAATGAGTTCCCTGTCTGGATCAAAATTTTGAGGCAAAACTGACTTTGGTCTTGGGCCGCAATGGCTGCCCGATATGGCTTCCGAGATCACCCTGGACGCTCGAAATCCCAAACAGAAGCCCAAGCTGCACACCAGCTGATCGGAAGGCTGGTCAGAAACGGGTGCACGCACCTAGTGGCGTCAACGCTGCGCCCCTCCAAGTTGGATAGGAGTCTACTAGCCACAGCAGTGGATCGAGTGATCCTGGAGTTGTAAGGCCGGATAAGGTTTGTGTTCTCCAGTTGCAGCTTAGCAATCCCAACACCCCATGCATAGCCCATTTCCTTGGATGATGCTCCAACCTTGGATTCACCGCGTAGCATTCAAAATCTCATCTCACAGCGGCACTTGCATTCCCCGGTCCGTGGGCTCAGCGACTTGCGGACCTTCTTGGCGCTGCAATCCGCAAGGTTCGATACAAACGGTAGCATGGAATTCCTTGCTTCCTCCAGAGTGGGACCAAGGCTGAAGCAAAGCCCTATCAAGTCCTAGCACACTTCAGTAGTATTTCATTTGGGGATATTATGGTACCCAATAATGGAGAATCAAATGGAAAAGAAAATGGAAAATGAAGTGGAAACTGGGGTTATATAAATAGTTCCTTCACATAGGGGACAATGTCTTGCAAGGACGTTCTAGGTCTGCCCTGCTCGAGAATGGTGCTATCAGGTACATTACGGGAGACTGCAGACGTGCCGCTAAGATCAAATTTAAAGATTTCTCACTGATATAGTCCAATCTTTATATCAAGATATTGGGGAAGCGCAGCTCTCTCAAGTAGTTTTGCCAAGCTTGCTTGTGGGGCATTCGTGCCGGAGCTTGGTCAATGCAGGAATACCCTCCACTACTCCAAAGGAGTAAGACCGCAGCGCGAGCCCTCTCGCAGCGAGTGAAGAAAAGTCATGACCTTTTTTGGGTCAAGCAGTTCTGCCAGTGCGCCACTTCGAATGGCGAGGTAGAGCTTCCATCGTTACTGAAAGGGCAGCTGACACCTGGTGTCACCTGGTGCACCCCAGATTGGGATTTTTTGGGGCGTCAGACGAGGGATGATTTGCTGGCCTGATATGGTCTAAAATCACGATTTGGCATGTACGATGTCATGTTGGGTGTCATTGACCCACCCATTTTAGTTGCATCTTTTTCTTTCGGTCGTCATTTCAGGTGACACTGGGAAGGACAAATGCTCTAAGTGCTCCAACAGGCATATGCATGGATGCAACAGAGTTGGGCATTGATTCTGAAAAGCTCAAGCATGATTCTCTGCGCAGTAATAAGTCAAGAAAGAGCCTTTCATGATTCCTAGCAACAAAGAATGTACAAGAACACTAATTCAGATGAGAGTGCTGTAGCTTTAGTGAAGATGGTCTTCATACCAAACGCGAGGGGATTTCGGATGACCACTCTGAGGGACATTAACCCCCCAGTAAGACCCAAATGACACCCAGAACGACACACAAAAAACAAATGACACCTTGGATGACACTCCAAGTGACATGCCAACCCCCCCCAATGACACCCATCAGAAGCATCACTGGACATGCCAAAACCATCGACAAACAAAAAAACAAGAAGTGAATGCTCGAATAATTCTTGTTGAGCACACCAGTATCAACACAGCAACACGCCACTCAGAGGCGGCGAACTCGCCACTCATAGGCGGCGAACAAACAGCAGCAACAACAACAAAAAGCATGTACAAACACTGTTAGTTATTTACAGCGAGGAACAGTTCAATCAAAAGTTTCATCATCCAGCATTTCACGTTAGGACTTCTCGTCTATCAACTCACAGAAGCCCAACAAATTATGAAAATCAACACAGCAGATCCATCCCCCAACTCCCCCCAAGCCTCCCCCACAGGTCTATTTTCTCTGTAGTAGGGTTCGAGCGCATGCCAAACTGCCCCTGTCCCTTCTCCCTTCCCTTCCTCCCCCCCATCCCCCAAGCCTCCCCCGCACGTCGAGCAGCGGAACCCGAAATTCTCGCCTTGCTGCACGGTCTGTTCCAGGTAACTTCAGCTCGCGCCGCTCTTGGTTAAACCGCCAGAACCCAGACCATCTGCCCCCCGTTTCCGACCAAGACTCATCGGCCCAAGAGGATTCACGGGGTCGGTGGAAGCGGCGGCAGCCGTTACATAATCATACATGATATCTCACAGATCTTTCTTTAGTCCTAAGCCTAAAGCCCCCATGTTTGAAAATCTCCCTTTATCTCCCCTTTTTGGGCGCCCGACAATGGACACCACTGGGGCATCTGGCACTGAAGCTGCCACAACGGACCTCGGAGGAAGCGGCGGACTCATGCTGCCAATGTTGGAAATTTACACATATGCATACTAGCTATGTAGATACATAGCTGCCAGAATATCAACACGAACAACAGCAAAGGACGATATGATTAACCACCCTGCCATGTGCAAAGGGCATTTTTTGCATGCACTTACAACACACCGTCAATGCGCTAGCGCGGGCCACAAAGTGCGACATGAAGAAGCCCCTAAACAGGAGAATCCGGTGACCCTGGGAGCACAAAGAACAATAAGCCTTCGGGATAAATCCGAAAACGAGCATCCAATGAATCCATGATATGATAATGTGTGCGCGTGAGAGTTCAGATATGCAGCATCTTCATCTTAGTTTTGCCCTTCGCACCAGACCGGCGCCTCCACCTGAACCTAGCGATTCGCAGCAATCATCCATGCAATCAGCATTTTGTGGACCCTGTACTTCACCGCGAAAGAGTGGCCGGAGTAGCAAAGACAATCTGTTCCACACAACCCACCCAGGGCCAGGCAGGACTGCGGACTCGGTGCTGTCGCCAGTTTCTGAAGCCGTCTGAATGCGGAACCTGCGCAGAAGCCACTCGACTGGAGCACCGACAGCGCTGAACGGCTGGATGAGGCCTGTAGGTCAGGCCGGCAGAGAGCCCGGTCTTGGTGTACTGCACCTCAGGACAAGCAAGAACCTTGCAAGGCTCAAACCAGAAACAAGTGATCACAAGTGCAATGCGGAGCAGTCACGGCCTGCAAGGTGTCCGTCAGCGTCACGGTTGTGTACGGGCCGGCAGCTCCATCGTCAAACTGAACCTATGGAACGCGTGTGAAGGGGCGACGGAGGCACTGAGCTCATGCCACAAAATACCCGCAACACGAAGCGTCTTTTTGCTCTGCAAGGTCTGCTGAGAGCCTTCGTGCCCAGATGGAGGGCATTGTGCAGTTCCGTGCTGGTTGGCACAGTCCTGAAACACAGAAGCTTGGGGGCGTGGTTTGGACAATTTGGTGTAAAGTTTTTCATTTGGCTGAGCCCTAGACCAGGCGATGGTAATGTTCTCCGCATTTGAATCCACCACGGTGGGAGCAGCGGGAGTGTCTGGTGGGGCTGAACATCTGTAGGCCAGCGTGTCCTTGGCCATCAAAGCAGGCAAAAGATCAAGCTCTGCACCTGGTGACATCTCCGGGGCAACTGGCCGAGAGAGCACCAGTCCCAGCTTGGCTGTATGCTGCCACTTTCACCTTGAGCGGAAGAAGTCCTCAAACAGCTCTGCCATGATGTTGAGGCCAAGGCGTAAAGCATGGCTTGGCTTGCAGACCAATTGCCGCATCCCAGATAAAACCTTGAAAACGATCTTCTTGCACATCTCCCATAGCAGCTGGCCAAAACCCTTTAAGGACCAAGCACCCGGTTGTTGACATCATCAATCCCATCGCTCGGGGCCGAGATGTCAGGCCAGGTTTCGCCATCTCCGGAGACGTAGATGTACCAACCTGAACGCTGTACACTGGAGTGGGCCCACAGCCGCTCATAAGATCTTCTCGTGCATTGAAAGACACACTTGCAACCCGCTACAGCCTAGCACACGGCTGGCCTTCAATGACTGCTCCGCCGTTAGATCCAGAGAACCTCACATGCACGATTCCGACTGCACTCTGACTACCTTCGTTGCATTCAAACATGTCTCCGCAAGAAGAGATGCAATGGTGCACTTCTTGCATGTCCATCTCCTAACGGACACCAGCAAAGCTTGCTTTCTAGGCCCTATTCCCTCCGCGTCGAGCTGGCCCAGGTCACTGAAAGCGCTGGTCCACCGCCAAGCTCGGAACATGGTTGAGGGTCACTAGTTTCCGTGCATCAGAGTACCAGTGTCGCAATCCGGACGGTGGACCCAGCAAGCCTGGGATTGAACTTGGTGAATTAGGCTGTCACAGCCGCGAAAATTGGTTGTTGAAACCATGAGAATATATGCTTTAAAGAATCGGGCTGTGAGGCTCTGGCATAAAGCTTCCCACTGCCTTGTCTTGCTCAGTTGTTGGCCAAGAGTTCACAGAGCGCCGTGCTGTTCGCTTGGAGGATTCAATACTCCAAGCCCGTCTGCTATCGGGGGGACTGGGAGATGCTCACTTTGAAGCTCAGGTTCCTGCGAAGTCCCGATGCGGGGATATTGGGGTTATATCGGGATATGGAAAACAAAATGGAAGCTACTATTTAGGGCTTAGGGTTTATTATCATAAGATCCCCATATACCCAATATCCTATCTACTTAATTGGGACTACAACCCCAATATATACCCTATAAAACTACAGTAGTTTCCATTTTCTTTTCCATTTTTCCCTCTACTCAAGGGAGGTGGCCAACTTTTGGAGCATCTCCCGTGCTGAAGCCCAGTCATTTGTCAGGTGTTGGATCATCTCAGATCTCCGGGCACTTGCCACCCCGCTCGAGGTTGGCAATCTGCACATCGCAACATGTTTTAGGGAAGCAATGCTGCTTCAAAATGAAATACAAATAGTAGTAATATAGTAATAATATTGTAATAAGAATTACTAGGACCAGATACTGTTGAAATACAAAATCGAGCAGCATCCAGTGCAGGTGACCTTTTGAGTTTTCCCCTCAAAAGCTTCCTCACTGGTCGACGACACCAGCTGATCCCTACAACGAGCCTCAAAGCTGACGGTCTCATTTCCGCCTGGCACAGATTTCCGGCTTGCTCATGCTTCACCCAACTTTCCCGCATCAAATGCTAGCGCCACGAGAATCTCGCTAAGGTGGCGTGACCCCTGCAAATTGCAAATGCTTCTGCAGAGCCTTGAGGAATGTTTGCACACTTTGCGATGTTGTCCTTGTAGTTTGTCACCAGCTGCGCAGGGCGGCAGGATGGTGTTTCGATGGATACGTATTTGATCTTGACAATTGCATGCTGTATCAGATGGACAGCTGCCTCCGCCTCGAAGATCGCAGCGTAGTACTTGTGCCTCAAAGCGTGAGACCGAAAGCAGCGTCATTGCAAAGGTATGGTGGCCATGCTCAGCTGTCGGCTTGCCCGGGCCGCCCCCAGCCTCAGCATACTTGACCCTGGTTGAGCAGGGTAGGGACGGCTAAGATGGGCCAAGTCTGCAGCAGTCATTGGCTCGAAGAGGCCGTTGCCAGCAGAGTGGATAAATGCCCTGCAAACCAATCAATGATTCTAGTTCCAAATGCCACTGGCACGGCAAGCCTTCCAAGTAGGAAGCGTTTGCAAGACCCCTATCACTAAGAGCTACACTTTCCCGAGCCGCAAGGTGCGTCAGGATCGTACCTGCGCAGCACACTGTTTCAACAGTGGCAAAGCTCAGCCCTGCTGTTCACCCTCCGAGCTTCAGGCACAATCACGCCCCGCTTGGCGTTCATGATCTTGCCTTGCCCACGTGCTGAGTGCTTGAGACCGGTGAATCTGCTCTCCTCTGCCACGAGACGCTCTGAGGCAGTCGCCTGCTTGAGCATTCTCGATCTCGTAGCAGACACCCTGGTCAAGGATGCCATTGTCTTACGTAAACTTTCAACCCGGTCTGCATTGTCTGCGCACTGGGCGACAGGCATCCTGGCTGAAGACGGGTCCGATGTCTCGGGCTCTGCCTCGTTTGAGACAGATGCAAGAACACACCGGCACCATCTACCTGAAAATGTTAGCCTCCCAACTCTGAGCTGATGGCCGACTAGCGCCTTACCGGCAAATAACTTTCAAGATGGCGGGATGAGGCGTGGGATCTCCCTGAATCCCTGGCCTGCTGCGCTGCCGGAGAATTCAATTCACCCTTGAAGGGCTTCCTCTTGGGGACCACATCCTGGGAGGCACTTGGTGATTGGGTCTTCAGAATACTTCTTCCTGTCGTGATCCCAGAAGCTCTCCCTTATATAGTGCTGAATTCAAAGTCCAATCATAGTTAAGGTAGTCCGTTCTGTTTCGCGGTACCGGTACTCACTGCCTGGGAGCTTCCTTGCAAACGCATGAAGAGTCCTCTACGAATTACTGCCTTCTGAGCACCCTGCACCGAAGACATCTGCAGAAGCACTCTGCGCGAAGCCCATCCCTTTGCCAAGGAAGAGATCCACGGAATCCATCCCCAGCTCAAAACAATAGCTAGGCCGGGAGTCGCGGCTGAAAATGAGTTGTTGTGAAGGACAGTCTCTGTGTTTTTGGCCGTCAAGGTTCAGAGGTAAGGATTGGTCCAGGGCCCTAGGGCCTAGAGGTGGACTTGGCTGTGGCATGCTGTGGTAGGATCCAGGAATCTAAGCCTCCTCGTCTCGCTGTGACCTGGGTATGGCCTAGGGTCAGCATGGCCCACAGAGGCTGGCTCATGCAAAGCTGCAGATGTAGTGATGTATGTTTGTTTTCCCCAAATAACGAAGAAGATTCTCGATTTTCCCGCACGCCGAGCGAAGCTTTGAAGCATTTCTCGGGATTATGATTTTCGTGAGGGTCAGTGAGGTATGAAAGAAAAATCCGAGTCAAAATATTGTGATGCGGTTCTTCCCCTTCTGCAAGAAACATGTCCATGCATGTGACTGCCGAGATGTGATGCTGATGACTGATGATGTTGCGCGAAGGTCGCCTGGATGTCTGAGTCAACATGCTTGTACGAACGCGCCGACGACAGAGCCTACTCCAGCCCCTTTCTGCAGGGCCGGCCAATGGAAACTGAGCTTGCTCCTTGCACCACGGCGTACACAGCAAGTATGCGCCTGCAAGGCCACCAGCGACCAGCATCTGGCGCCGGCCTGTGGCGTCAGCAGGCCTTATCAGGTTCCCTCACTTGAACTGAAGACTTCGAACGGGTCTGTTTGCTCCTGCACTGGTCAGCCAGCTGTTTGTGCCTTCCGGTGGGCTCCAGGAAGGCATTCTGCGCTAGGCTGCGCAGTAGGCACACGACCTACACAACCAGCTTTCCACAAGCAGACATGAGCTGAGTAAGCAACATGAAGTCATGTTGGTCATCTCGGCGTAGACTCGAGCACACTTTGGCATGGCTGCGGGGCTGGGCCCCACACTACTCCGCAGAGCGCAAGGCTCAAGATGCTGCCTGCAACAGATGTGGAAGTATCGTGGAACAGCAGACAGAAAGCTTGCTTTTGAGTGGGCAGTGTGGTAATTATGCGCAAAAGGCATCATTACAACGCTTGCTGGAGGCGCATCTATCACAGACCGACCAAGTACGGTCTCTCCTGTACCACCTCTGACAAGCGGTTAATGGCGCGACCACTCAGTGGCAGATTTTCTGAGCCGCAACTGGTGAAAGCCCTGGGCCCACACTTAGAATTTGGAAACCCCCTGGTTCCAAAAAAGGCTCTCCGATCAGCTAGGGGTCCTTCGTGAATCATGATGGTCTATGATCATTCATATTGGGCTCTCGGAGCCTCTCGCTAGTATACAACAGGTAACAACACCACTGTGTGTGGTGGGCCTCGTCGCGCCATGGCGGGGCTTTAGCGCGTGAAAGCGCAGTTCGAGCCGTAGATGCAACTTTCGGACACACTCTGTTTGGATTCTCCAGCTTCACAGCTTGTACAACTGGAAGAGGCGGTTCACCCAGAAGGAGGCTGATTCTGAAGATAAGCACCGCAAAAAACAGACTCGCGATCTCAGCATATGTCCACAGGGTGACTTCAGGACTGCTGAGGACTCAACCCCCAGGTGAAGGTGATGCTGTTGTCCGTTGACCTCAGGGGGCTTTTCTTTCTGCATCTGCTCTTTGCATCTGGAGAGGCAGGCTGTGATGAGCCCATGAAGGCTTCGTCACAGTCTTCTATATCTGCTAGAATTGCCTGGAACTTGGGAGAACAAACTTTGGACTGCCCAAACTACGGAGTCTGTCCTCCTATCTGCGCAAAACTGTGTCACCCGGCGAGAGCGCATAGACAGGAGCCTCAGTTCCAGGTTCTTCTATAGCGTCTCTTCCCTTCTCAGATCTGATTCCACCTTTTGAGACGTTCTGGGGGCCCAGCTGGTGCATCCGGAGGCGAGGCTGCCACCACAGGGCCACCAATTCCAGACTCTGCACTGCAGTGTGCCTCGGCAAAGCAATGCAAAGCAATGCGAAGCAGGGAGATCCTTTCTGAACTGAGCCACCGACAACTGAGCACAGCTTTAGCTTTGCCCGGTAATAGTGCCCGGTGATGATGCCCGTGGTGATGGTGTAGGACAGCACGGTCCTCAAATTTCAGACCATGGATTTTGCAGAACTTTTGCCCTCTTCTGCATAATGTTGCTTACAAGCTAAGGGATGTATGAACTCCCACTAGCAGACCTTCCCTGTTTTGCCCTTGCAACGCAACCTTGTGCGCTGCTGGAAACCCTGTGCCATGTGCTCACAATGAGACTCATCCCCAAACAAGCAGCCCTCACGTGAAGCGCGTAAATATCCCATCATATCCTTTGATACACTGCATCGCTAGGGCAGCCGTGCACAGAGCTGGAGTGCACGTGACCTTTCTGAATTTGGTTTGCTGCTTGCGCATTGCTCAGTACGACCAGTTGTTGGGCTGCAGAAGGTTGCCTTCCCCTTTTGAAACCAAGTTGTGCTGCGCTCCCAGTAGGAACGCCTGCTTCCCGGTTGGTTAATGGGCATTTACTATTTCAGTTGTCTGAAGATTGCTGAGTCCCCGACGTGTCGGCCACCTCGGTCTCGTTGTAGATATCGTCTGCATCATTGGCGTCATCCACCTACGTGGCTCATGATGAATGAGCTTTGGGGCAGACAAAGCCGCCCAGAGAGGACATGGCCAAAGGCATTCAAGACCCCAACCAGAATACGCCAGCCAGTGTGCTGTGCATTGTTGAGCTGCCCGGCTGTAGGCTGATACCTGAACATTGAAGTCGTCTGATCCACCACAGCACATGTAGCCATCACTGCAAAGGCGCAATGCGATGGTCAAAGAAGAAGCGGTTGTAGTAAGGGCCGGTGCCTGCAGCAGAAGGCAGAGGCAATATGATGTGCTTACACACATGCCCAAAAAAAAGGAAGGTTTTTGCAAGACATGCCAGTGATCACCGTCGGTGTCAGTGGAGGTGGCACGCAGTATAAGCCCACAGGGTCTGAGTCAGCCTTAGAGCGCTGCTCATTGCTGTTCACATCTGCTCACTACTACTGCAGCGGACTCTGAGTCCAGCACCCCTTCGCCGCTCCCACCTCCAACACCGTTCACAGCTGATACCTTGAAGAAGAACCTGTCAGCGCAGCTTCTGAAATTGGACATGCTATGCCTGCAAGGCATGCCAGCATCACAGCTGGCTGCCACCACAACTGTAGGTGAAGCTGAAGACCGAAGCATCAGCTGTGCTCCCTGCAAAGAAGACATGGCCAGATGAGGCTCCACCGCACTACGAATGCAAAATTGGCCTGCAGCACTATACGTAGTGCCGCCGTCCGAGGACACTTTCACGTTGTAACTTGGATTTCAACGCAGCAGCCACTATGTCCAAGCACGCCTTGCATGGGCACTTATCAGAAACCCAGGCTGCTGACTGTGTCAAGGGGACACCACCGTTGTCCTCTCACAGCGTTGAATTCAGAACGCTGTCTCAATTTGAAGGCCTAGCCGCGGCTTTGGGAGCCCATCTTTTTCCAGAAAGGGAGGGAGGTCAGGGAGCCTCATGCTTTCATGGAGCACTTTGAACTCAGCGACTGTGGGAAACGCGCAGAAACGATCATGAAAAGTTTGCGAGTGCTAGCCCAGGAATTTGCCCCCGAATGGCGCGGGGTTGCAGCACAGTACAAGGGTCTAGCGGGGGAGCAGAGCGGTCCAAGGGGAGAGCATGCGATGGAACCTGTTCACGTTATCACATGCACATGATGCACGCAGAGACCCACAGAGCAGGCAGGCACTGAACAAAGTACGATTCCGATCGTCACAATTGCTAGTAAAATTGGTAGTGTAGCTTTCTTCCGAGGGATTGGCTGCATCGCTCAGATTGCAATTTCGCTTCAACACCGTCACTGGCTGAGATTTCTGCTCTGCAACATGATGCACAAACCACAACACGAATTGGCTGACAAAATTGCGCCTCGACCCAAATCCGAGCACTAGGAAAGAAACTTGGGAAGTTGGAATTCACTCATGTTGCCACCGCGCCGTTTTGAGGGCCCGCAACAATTTATTTCGCATCATCAGAAACGCTCCGGTGTCCTTGCCAACATAGTCCCAGCCGAGGGTGATGGCCGTCCCTGTGGACGAGACCATGAAGGGTGCGGAAGGGGCCTTTGCAGGTGGCAGATGGTGGCAGTAGGACTGCAACAGTTCAAACTATTCGCAAAGAGCAGAGAACTGCATTGAGGAGTAGGAGGGTGCTCCTGGCCTGCGGGAGGCCTCCAACCACCAAATCCAGCCTTGAAAGGTCAAGAGATGACGACACTTACATGCCGTGAGAGCGTGGATGCACCCAAGCCTGGAGGAATAAGCTCCGCATTCGTTGATGTTGCAAGCCCGGACCTCTTGCAAAGAACAAGGCACTGCCATAGGCACCGCCATATGCTGCATGCAGTCTGCAATTCTTGGCTGAGGATGACAAGGCACCTCGAAGCGGATCGTGTTGCCAGTGGTCAAAGGGCCTGGTGGGGTGACCTCAGAACTCGCGGAATCGCTTTCAAAAGGCTTTTGCAACAGCGATGCCTCGCGAGGCCCTCAGGTCCTGGACCTGCTTGAAGCCTGGCGACGTTGTCAGCATCTGCGTAGCCGACATTGTTGTCTGGTCGTTCCACAAGACCTCACGGCACTGGCTTTCGCAGCGTTGAGCTTGGGCAGCTGCCTGAGAGTCTGGGGCCTCATAGCGGGTGATCGGTGACTCGTCATTGTGGACTGCAGTCGTGACATCCCAAACCACCTGATCCATCTGAAAGCTGGGCCGACAGAGCCATGCAGTCCGTGCATCTCAAAGATTCTGCTTGCAAGCCTGCAGGGATGTCGTCGTTGAGGCCAGGTACCTCAAATTGCTTGAGTTGTTCAGCTTGTTGCCATCTTTTCCAACTCGTGCCTGAGGTTGCGCGGTACACCGGGAGCCTAGCCAAAAGAACAGAGTATCATAGAGGCTTGCAGAGGTCAACCAACCCTCAAGAGGTCAGGGCAGTGCCTCAGAGGCGGCAAAGGACATGATGCCGCTGAGGGGTCCCCAGCCTGCGCAGGTTTGCTTGCAAAGGAAGATGCCCAAAAGGCCCAGCTTGAGGCCAGCTTGGGATGCTGCCGTTGGCGTTGCGCGCTCGGATCTGAGACATGCAACAAGCAACTCTGTGACTCCAAGAAGCCTCACGTTGTCTCACGTCCCGCCTGGAACCGGTAGGTGACGCCCCTGTTCAGTGTGTCCTGCCGGTAGGTTGTCGCCGTGCCGGCCTAGGCTTCCGTGGCTCTCTCTCTGATGTTTCCGATTCCTAGCTTGGGCACCGGACATAGATCAAGTTGTTCAGACTGCCACCAACGCCAGCACCGTTGTCGAAGTACAACTCGTACCTCCCAGTAGCAAGTTCTCAAACCTTGCACAAACACCCTGTGGCCCTAAAGGCACACGGTGACATCCTGAAAGCAGAAGCAATCTAATCTAGAACCTGAACCGAGCCCAGCGGCTCCAGCACTGGAAGCCCAGTGAGCCGTCGGCCTGGGGCTTGGGCCTCAGGACATCTCAGGACACTCAATAGCTTAAACGTAAACTCCACAGAGACCAAATCTGGGGGCACTGGCAAGGCGCCTCGCTCCGGAAGGCGAGCCCCAAGAAAGCTGACAAGCATTTTCTGCAGCATTATGCAATCAATAAGCGGGCTCTAAGTGGCAACCCTGGAGCCTCAATGGCCGTTTGCGCTGCAGAGACCAGCGTGAAGGGGCTGCCGCCAAAGGTCGGAGCATCGCCTGCCTTGGACACGAAAGACCGTGTGGGCTTAAAGCTAGATCGACTACACCGAGCTGCGGAAATCAAGCGAAGAGTCTGGTTCACCGCTCGTGCTCTCAGCTGCTTGGCTTGTAAGGCTTCTGAGGCTGGCGCAACGACCTCCAAACCGCCATCAGGGAAGCCGACCTTAGTTGTACTCTCACATAGGCACCCGCGACGACTGTTCAGAACACCAGGGCTCTGGCATCACAGTTGTCCACCTGGCACACGTAGACCTTGCTGAGGCGTGAAGTATTCAGCAAGCCCCAAGAATAAAGCAAATCTGGCAGCAGCAATCCAAGGCGGAGTGTTTTTGCTTTGCAGGAAGCCAGCCACACCGCGCCACTTGCGCTAAGTGACGATCCCCGCTCAGAACAATGCTTTAGAGAAACGGAGCATCTCCGCCAGGTGCTGCAGGTGTTCTCACCGGATAGGGCACAGCCACGAAGATGCCGACTCTGACTTCTACAGCGCATGCCATCATGCAACAGGTGCGCGATGAAGAACGCTCCGACAAACGCTCCCTAAGCTCCATGCGTCAATCTTTATGACAGGATTGCAAGCTCAGCAGGAACCGGTGCCGGACGCAGGCTCCCACAACAAAGGCCGCAGTCGGACAAGGCCTCACCACCGCTCTCCATGAGAACGACTTCGTGGCTATGGCAGTCAGCCAGGCGGACGCATTTGTTGGGCACGTCCAAATCTGCCGTACTGGTGCCTTTGACGCTTGACACTGGCTCCCAGTCGGTACCTGGCTCTCGCTGCACCCAGGCGGCGTACTGCGCAGAACGTCGCACCGAGTTGCCAGCGAAGTCCTCTAAGTTCGCAGCTGTCTTCTCAACATGCTCTCTAGACAGCTCTGCATGAGTTTAATGCAAAGGTCCTCTATGAAGCTGTAGAGGCCCCAGAGCTTTCCTCGATCGCCTTGTGCTTCATCAGGTTCTGGTCGCAGATGTCGTGCGAACTCCACCCAGCCGGTGTTGGGTTTGTGAAAGTGGCAGCTAACCAAAGAACCTCGCTCGACGGCAGTGGAGCGCACCACGAAAAGATATGCCTCCGCAAGACATCAGCCGCACACAGAAAATGACTTTGAGAGGCAAAGCTTGCTTCAGAAAAATTATCTGGTCCCTCTGCACCTCCCCTGCATTCCAACTTGCCAGCTCAGAGTCTGCTTGCTTGCCAGTGCCAGTCACGCTGTAGGCTCCAAGGCTCATACCTTCCCCACCAAAGGGCTCGGCCTCCACTCCCTCAGCAACACTCATGTTCTCCACCTTTTCCCCAGCGGGATGGTTCCATAGGGAGAAGAGAACCTGCTGCTTCTGACCCTGGTGCTGCTGAATGCCGCAATAGCCACTCTGAAACCCGCAGGCGCAGTAGTAGGTGCATGACGATGGCTCTGGTACTCTGACCTGACAGGCAAAGGCATGAACTTTGCCAGCCACCTTCCACTGCACATGGCATGAGGGGGCCGGATCCCTGCCGGGCTTGAAGGAACAGTCCGGAGAGAAATCCGCAGGGGCCATGTAGAAGTCGAAGCCCTTGTCTTCCTTCAGCGCCTCTCGCAGCTCTACCTGCGTCCGACGGAAGAAGAAGCACCTCCAGGAGGCATTTTTGGGCATCAGGAATGGGTCCGCGGGTCCGCACTTACAGCCCTCGATCACAACAGTCTTTGGCCCCTGTCACACAGGCGGGTTGTCCTCCTCGCCAAACTGATTAAAGTGCGGCTTGCGCCAGGCAAATCCGCCGCAGTCGCTGTCGATGCACCGCTTGCAGTTTTTGGCAAAGTCGGCCTTCGGGGGAAAAGTTACTCCTAACTAACCTATCAGACTCATCACAGCCACGCCCGATTTTGCCTTTGTCCCAAGTCTAGTCCGAAGCCCCACTGAAAAAACACTCACTCCTGTGCAAGCGTCCAAAGAAAGACTGTGAGATCTGAGATTGGCCTCCGTGCGGCAGATGCCCGAGTTGGCCACCGCTCGGAAGGTAACATTTCGGTTCTCGAGCTTCTCCCATCTTGCCAGGGGATCTTCTCGCTTGGGGAGAAGCCGTTGGACGTCGTAGTTCTGCCAACCGTTTTCGAGCTCGCTGGATCCATGGAAGCCTCCGAATGTTGCAGGCTGCGTTCTTAGAAAGTCCTCCAGGAAGTCCATGCTGGCGATAGTCCAGCCACCATTCGTGTCTGCTGCAAGCATCCGGCCCCTCTCCCGATTCAAGTAAACAGGCATCCCGTTCAGTCGCACGTCGGCTCTCTCCTGATAAGTTCCAGCACACGAGGCGTAATCTGGCTGGCCCTGCTTCACCACAAACTCTAACTCCTCCACCCGAGTCACCTCATAATTCTCCCAGGGACCATCTTCAGGCTCAATTGCCGCAGAGGAGTGGAAGCCCCCAAAGCTGCTAACGTTCTCGGAAATGAAGGAGTCGAGATCTGCTAGTTTCCCAATGATCCAAGCACCACCGGCAGTCTTGCCAAGGAATCGTTCCTTCTCTTCACTCACGTATACGGGCTTGCCGTTTAAGCATTGCCTTCTGTCTAGCTTGTAACCGCCAGCGCAATTGGCATAGTTGGCTTTCCCACTCCTTGTGCTGAACACCAGCATGTATACGAAAGGCTTAATCCCATGAGTCGTTGAGCCATCATGGCGCGGAACTGAAAAATTCCACAATGCAGGCGATGCGCCCCGATGCGCGCCGACTTCTCAGGGCCCGGCCATGAACCCGTAGGAAAGCCCTGCCGCAAGTCCCTGCTGGACGTGAGTAAGAACCTTCAGCACAGAAGACGGTCACAGAAAGCTGATTCCGGGACCGGCAGACATGTGTCTGGGTTGCCAGCCGCGGGTCCAGCATCGTGCACAAGATAGTAAGGGTTGGCACCCTGCCGCATGTACACCTAAGCGAGCAGGGTCCAGCGTTGAAATGCAGGCTCCCTACTCACAACAATCTGTTCGCCTGCCTTGTAGCCAGTAATCAAAGACCCGGTGCAGCCTGCACTCAGGTTGCAGCAAGACATCGGTTAGCAAGGTCCACCGAAGGCCTGTGTTGGAGGGAGGGACCCAGGTAAGCTTCACGGAGTTGGAGGTGTGATCAGACGCCGTGAAGCTGTCCACTGGGTCTGGCCTCCAAACAAACCGCAGATCGAAAGAAGGCATCAGAGATCCCTCCAAATTTGATCTCCAGACCAGGGAGCCCACAGCGCGCACACTTGCGTTCGGTAGACGGGGCTGGCCTGTCCATTGGTTCTGAGAGTACTGAATCCCCTTGCTGCTTCCGAAGCCTGAGACAGCCCGATGGCGTTCTCTGCGTAAACTACGAATCGGATGAACTTCCCCTGCGGCCTAGCACAAGACTGGCTGATGCATGCATGGATTTGCCGTCAAACGCGGCAGATGCACAGCCCGTCAATGGAGTCAGAAAAGGTGACGCTGCTGTAGGTCCTACATAAGACGTACAAGACTTCAGCTGCTTTGAAAGGCAGGCGACGTGAGGTCTTGCCGAGCACTGCATGCGTAAGGACGGCTGCAGGCACTCCTGTTGTTCGTGAAGTCAGTGTAGTCTCCATCGTCATATGCCACAATGTATCCTCTCTCGTCACGGAGAAAGATACGTCCAAACTCCAGCAAGCTCGTACAAACCTCTCTCAGCTTCTCATGCTTTTCATCGGCTATGGCTATGTCTGCACTATTGTGCTCGGTGCCCATCCGCCTGTGACAGGAGAGCCACCGTTATTCACAGGAGCGCTCCAGGACAATGCCACGGACCTCAAGTTCCCGCAAGTGACCAGCTCAAGTCCAGCAACCCACCCCAAGATCTCAAGTTCACCAGGGCCAAACGTGGCCGTTCGATTCACCGAATCATCCCGCACCAAAGCGTTCATCCTTAGCTAGCTGCAGAAGGTGTGAGACACGAAGGCAGACACAACAGTACAATCCTGGAGTGTTTCCGCTGAACACAGATGCAGCAAAATTCAACAAAGCGTCTGAGACGGCTCGGTGCCACCAGAGACAACCGTCACAGCAGACCTGGGGTTCAAAGCTCTTGCGGATGCCAAGGAAAAATAGACATGCTTCCAGGGTGCTGCAGCGACTCTCCAGCGGAGTTCAAGGCTGTTGCGGCAAAGCGGTATAGCAGTCCGCCTGCAGGCCACAAATCTTGAGGCATAACTCAATGCCCCCACCAGCAGATGCCTGAGAGCCCAGTGACGGTAAAGGACAAGACGTCCGGCTTCCCATAACCTCATGGACTCACGGCAAAATGCAAGTACGACAGTCCGAAAACACATCGAAGCAGGCACCTTTGGCATCTGGACATGCTGATTGCAGCAAGAAGGCCATTCCACAGCAGGATGCTGATGGCGTCGTTGGCGCCGTTGTCCCTGCTGCAATTCTGGATAACGCTCCTATGAACAATGCGGGTGGAGTGCATTTGCCTTACACTCTCCCAGCACCAGAGCTACATCTCAATCACTTCAACCGCCTCGGTCCCTTTCATCCCTGATGCCTGGGGTTTATCACATCCGTGCTTTGCTGTGACTTCAGTACGGAGAAACTTGCGCTCCGCAACTGCTGAAACGTAAAGAGTAATGCCAGACTCAGACCTCACCAAACATTTGAGCACATGTTCATCACCTTCACAATGATCAGAATGTGGCAACAAACAACACAGGTTTGAGATGATGCATTACCAGGTTTGCGTGCCTTCCTATGATCCTACAATGTCTGACTTTGAGTATTGATTCTGAACCCAAGGCATGCCATGATTCTGCGTCCTTGCCTCTAGCCAGCAAAACTATGTACAGCTAGTTGCACGCTCGAGGCCTGCTCATTAAGGGCAACGTTGTGCAATTGGGGGGGAGGGGGGGGGGGCGCTTTCGATCTCCTTTGCCACTGGTGCTGAATGAGTTCAGCTGGGACGGCATGCAACCCACACCCTCCGACGACACAAACCCCAGAAAGCTCAGAAGGCTAGGCACGCCACAATGTCGAAATCCAACAGTAAGGAAACGTATTAGGAATACTGCGATCAAGACAAACGCAAGTATCATCGGTTCTACTCTTGCTCCTTCTCTGCCTATATTGCTAAATGAAGGCATTACACTACTACATTACTCGAGTGCTACATGGCCCATTCATTGCTGATGCTGATGGGGCCTGTAGAGCTTGTAGCCCAGCACGGGAATGCCACCGGAACTCGCCGGTGCCGTCCAAGAAACCTGGAGCCTCACTCAAGGCGTCGGGAGTTGTGGTAGAGGCCATCATCTCCACTATACTGGAAATCAGAGCTTTGGTACCCAAAGTATACTACTGAGGTGTCCAGCTGCGTGGGCTTCACCTCCTACTTTCTTAGCCTCCGGCCCTGTGCTTGTCCTCGTCGAAGCAACCACTGTGGGAGCACCAGGCGCATCCTCAGCTACGGCTTTCAACCAAAGTGGGTTGATAGGCACCTTCGTGTTATTTCGGAATTGCTCTAGTGAGTGAGGCAAGTGCTGGCGCGGCTGCTGCATAGAAGGATGCCTCCAAAATGAAGCGCTCCAAAAAGGGGGCAGACTGTGCGCTAGACCGGGTTTTGGGTAGCTAGCATGCCAGTACGCCTGAACCGCCCTTAACAAGCTTAGCATGCTGCACATAAGAGAGACAGAACAAACAGACCTAACACCAACACTGCAAATGCCTAAGCGAAAGCGCTCGTTAGCCTGCACGTAGTTGGGCACCAGGTCAGTCAGGGCATTCGTATCCAACGCACGGTTAGCAGCTGCCACCTGCAGCGAGATCTATCAACGCCTACCCGGCCTACCCATGGTCCAGCCAGGTGATGCGAGTGTCTGAGAAAAGCTCCGAAACCGCGCCTGAATGGCGTAGTAGTTACCCAGCGTGAGGCCTGTGACGGTGAAGGTAGTGCTGGTTGGCGGGCTGCCGCCCGTGGCGTCGACAAAGGTTGTGCCGCCCACCCTCGGCGTGCAAAGCTCGTTCAAGCGGATTCCAGCACGCCCAGAATTTCAGAAAGCAGTTTCTTTTTGCACCTTTTTTGGCGCAAGCTCAGCTTGGACTGGGCGTCAGGTATGCCTCAGCAGAAGGAATTGCTTCGTATGATCGCATGCCACACGTGCCTGACTGGGAGAGAGGCTTCGCTGTCGGGGCTCGCTGCCCCCAGAACAGTGGCCGACGGCTTTGCCGACGGTTCCTCACCGCACATCCCATTCAAATCCCGACCCCTCCCCGCGGCATATTCCGCTTGGGCTCCTCAGCGTCGCTGGCATCGCCATCGCGCTCCGCCGCGGCATAGATGCGCTCTTTGGCAGCGGGGGGGATGTCCTGACTCAATCAAACAACGCCACAACACCTGAGGGGATGTAATTAGCTTCTGAAGAACTCTGATGCTGCTGAAGCACCAGCGACATGGTCTTCAGCAGGAGAAGAAGCATTGGACCGACAATCGAGGCCAGGGTAACCCAAACCCACAAAGCGGGGCCATTAGCCCGCTCTCGCCAGCCTCAGGCCAACTGCAGCGGCTTCAAGGTTTAAGCTCTACACACCCTCTCTTGTGAGGATTCTGCCATCGCACTCCCTGCAGCTGCTGGGGCACCCAGACATGCTGGCGGCTGCGCACCTGCCATGTTGACAGCGCATCCAAAGTGGGAGCACGGTCTAGCAGTCTGGCATGGTTCTGGGGATGCGGCAGCGCACGGTGCGACGAGCAGGAGAGGTTCGCATCTGGGTGGGGAATATGCAGATAGGATCCGAGCAATGCCTAAGGTTGCAAACCAACTCAGGCCTAAGCCGGTCCCGTTGCAAGGCACCGGGGCATCCAAAGCCTGACTCAGCGCACTGCGCAACTCAACACAACCACAAGAAATTTCTGCAGAGATGCCTTGCACTCGTAGCGGCAGAAGGCACCCGTGCCGGGCTCTCCTCGGGTTCAGTATGGCCCTGCAAAGAGTACCGAAAGCAGCCAGATCCATTATCATTCGCCACAATGTAAGTCCAAAGAACCCAGGCAAGAGGCACAATTGTCAGGCGAGTTTTTGTTTGGAGGGTGAGATGGTTCTGGCGGAACTGCGGCTGTCAAAACAACAAACTTGAGGCCCATGCTGCAGCTGGGGCAGTCCGGGCAGTAGTTGGCCAGTAGAACCCCCGACAGCCAGCCAGTGGGTAGGGCGGCAAGAAACCTCAAGCCAGGGACCCCATACACAATGATGCAGCAAAATCACTAACATGACAATTTTGGCCAGAATTGCGATAGAAATTAGGCTGCATTATACCAATAGTGTTACGATGACGACTGCTGTTGCCATAGTCGTTTGCTTCACTACGCTCAGCTGCGTGCTGCGGTGTAAACGCAAGGACCATGAATGCGCCCTGCACGCAGCTCGTATGGGTTCCGCTGCTGTCAGTTGCCATCCCGCATGCAGCTCGCCAGCCTCTTTGCCATCTGGCGAAAGGTTTGCCGAGAAGGTGTTAAATCGCGGGCTCCAGATCACCTGCACCAGGCCAGGTCTCTCAGAGCTAAACGCAACAGATTCCGTCTTCACCTCCCCAACGCTCATCGTAATCAACCATGCGCAGGTGGCACGCACCTAGAAAGCACGCGGCTTGCCCACCGATTGAAAGTATGATATCGCATGTGTCTCAGGTGACGACAGAGACTTCGAAGATCATGAAGGCAGGGGACAAGGACATCACCACCTCGGCCAAAGCTGGTAAAGAGATGGGAAACTCACAAGAGTCTCTTTGCCGAGCAGCGCTTCCAAAGAGAATGGCAGAGAAGTTCCTGTCTTCCACTGGGGATGCTTCGGGTTCAGTGCACACAATCATAAGGTGCTGTGCCACAGCGTCTCCATGCAGTCCTCCACTTGGCTGTGGCCATGGTGATGAACGGTGGCAGGGCCGCACACATCCAGTAGTTGATGCTGTTCACAGACCCCCAAGGAACCTGCTTTCAGGTGTCGAGCTTGAAGGTGTGCACTCCGCCACATGTGCTGTTGCCAAGGAACGTCTTCACCCAGCTCCCTCACGAGGTACTTGGGCATCGTGGCGTTCCTAGCTGTCGCAGAAAAGATGCCCAGCGGTCAGTGAAAACCGCATCTTTTGTCTCCAAGTCTCATGTGGTGCCACTGTGCTTTCACACCTTGCCACAACCGACCAACACAGACAGAAAGTCAACGCCTTCAAATGTCAACATGTACTTTCTTAGCCAAAACGAGGCAAAGTGACCCACCAAAGCTGTCGAACAGGCGGCAATGAACCATAGTCCGCGATCTCTCCTGAGCGAAGACTGTTCAACAAGCAAAGAGGTGGCGAATGCCGCTTGCAGGGCATCTGCAGGGTCCATTCTCCTGGAGGGCGTTCTTTCTCTAGTGATGCTTGTCTGGGTTCGGAATAAGCTAATTCCCAGTGCGTGTCATGAAGCACCATGTTTGTGAGGGCCACCATTCCTAAAGCCTGACGACCAGTGACTACAAGGAACCCCAGGAATAATGGAACAGTCGGCCTCATTAAGTTGACGCCACGATATCTCACAGAAATGCGGTGCTGGACCTGACGCGTAAGCCTCGAAAGAAGGGCTTTTAAGGATCCTCTTTCAGGAAGTCTTCTGCGTTCCTCCTTGCTCTGACTGAGCCTTGCTTGCAGATCTCTTTGGCCGAGGGGCATCAAGGCGGAGGCCTCTGAGAGAGCAGATCCACAAGGGGAGGTGCCTCAAACGCGGGCAGCTTATGCGTTCTTCAGGTTGCTGCACGAGCCTTGGTGTTTGTACTACTGCAGCTTCTCTCCGGCCGTCATCGCTGGGACCCCGGACTTGGGGCCACCGTGCGGGGTGAACCCTCATCCTCATCCTGGACGCAGTGCTGAGATGTCTTGTAAGCTTCTCATCTTGAAAACCTCAATGACAAAGAAACCTGCGAAGTTTCAATCTCACTATGATCAGTACGTTTCAGGTTCTTGTAGTCTGCTCAAATGCACCTCTTCCCATCTCTTCCCCGGCTTCAAGCCTGGAACTGCAGGTGGATGTTCTTCCTTCTGCAGCAGGCCAGTGGCGGTGCTAACTCGGATGGAAGGAGGCAGGCCAATAAGCAGCTGGCCAGCAAGGCAGCCTGTGACCAGGCCAATACAGAATCAGAAGCCTTTAACCATGAACTGTGCGGAGCGGGGGGGGAGTCTGAGGGCTTTCAAACACATCGTCCATACAAGTAGCAAAAAAGTTCTGCTTCGTTCCTTGTCATAGGACGCGGATTGGCTCTCTCATCCCGCTTGCCAAAGCTGAACCATCCCTCGCTCAAGACTTTTCAGGCCCCAACCAGCGTGTGTGGACGTTCCCTACTTACGATCCTTCTGGTGAACTACCATGGCCAATTAAAGTTTTGATGGAAGATTATTCAAAAATCATGTTCATGGTCATCCTTGGCATGCAGTAGAGGCATCATGGGAGGCCTCCGTGAGAAGGAAGCAAGCCCGCGTCGGTGTGGAAAAGCGTCCAAACAGGTCCGAAAAGCCCGCAGGATCCTGGGTTGCATTGCTCCCGGTTAACACCACTTCAGAGGGCCCCCCAAAGCCTAAATCCTAAACCCTAAATCAAAAAACCTAGACCCTAAGCCCTAAACCCTACACTTCAACGCCCTCAACCCTGGACTTCAAAAAACCTAAATCAGATCCAAGACAACAAGCCAAGGCTCCATGTGCTGCCAGGTGCGAAAGACATCGATGGCTAGGTCAGCGATGCCGCCACCTGACCAGATTCCGTGCTAGGGTTTAGAGGGCTTAGGGTTTAGGGATTTAGGATTTAAGATTTAAGGATTTATGATCTAGGGTTTAAACGTTTAGGGTTTAGGGCTTGGGGGTTAAAGGGGTTAGGGCTTGGTGGTTTAGGGCTTGGGGCCCGATGGAGCAAGAAGAATTGAGAGTGACATTCGACAATGCTGCTGTCACAGATAGAACAACCCTTTGAGCGTCAGTGCTCTCATCACCAGGCCTGCGTTGTGCATTGCGTAATTCAGGCTGAAGGCCATGGGCCGGTCCTCCTCAGGAGTGAGCCTCTTCAGCGCCACCAAAAAGACCTAAGTTGAGGTTGAGATGGTCTGGCCCACCAAGGCAATCGTGGCCACACAGACATTGCAGTCATGTGGTTAGGAACGATGTTTACCATCAGTGTTGGCAAGACATACTGGGTACCAAGCTGGGAGCAGCAGCCCCTCCGCCACCGGCGAGAATAGGAGCAGCGCTAACCTGTAGAAGAAATGCAGGCGCTGCTTTCGACTCCAAGTAGTGCTGCTGAATGCAAACAGGTCCCTGCACGTGGACTGCCAGCAACAGACTTAGGGCCCAGACTTGAAGGTGTCGGGGCTTTGCGCCAGCACCAGCATTGCGCGGGTCACAAACATGGCCACCGTGGCGAAGACGGCCATCCGCTTGGAGCCTACCGCGTCCTTGGGCCGTCTGGCTCTACGCAAACGGCTCCCAAGCCTTTCATGCTAATGACTTATCCTTCCGAGTATCAATGACGAACATCCCGCCAAGGCCCGTCCACAAGGAGGACCTTAAGCGAGCTCTTGCGATTCTGACAAAGCCTCTCTCAGCTGACGCTATCAGCCAGGTGGCAGGATGCCCCACCAGCCGTAAAGGGTGCCTGCTTCTTTGTCGCTGAAGCCAAACTCGTCGGTGGCGTAAAGCACCAGCCTCAGGCTCTGAACCTTCACTGAAAAAAATGGCTGAAAAGGTGCTGCCCAGGAACAGAACTGCCATCACGTGGTACGAGAAGGATGCGAAGAAGTTGAGGAAAAACGTCCTCAAGCTGACAGAACGGAATGCTTGTTAGCCACAAGGTCACTGGGTCCTAGATCAAACCAGTTCTTTCCAGCTTCCTCCCTGCTTGTACCGTGCATGTCCCAGGCGCATCCAGACACCTGCCTGAAAGCGCGGGCAGCATGCCATGGCGCCGACCCAGCGCCATTGGCGACTGCCCAGCGACGCTCGGTGCAAGTTCTCCTGGTCCCTTGTAGGACTTAGGATTCTTGAATTTTGCATGGAGGTTGTGGTGCCACACTGCTACACCTCTCATTGTACCCGCGTTTTATGCCCTTCGCTTGGGTTCCGAGTGAGGCTCCCTCCTTGACGTTGCTTCATTACCATGCAGGGCCCACGCCCCAAAACCTTATGGTCTGGAAGCCCGATGCTCAGGATGGTCCAACTCTTTCTACTTCCAACCTATTCCAAAATCATCACTGCCAGGTGACGTCAGTGGGTTTAGGCATGTATGTAGGCCGGAAGCAGCTGCGAAATGTGCAAGTCATGCAAATACACCCTATGCACGCTCGACAGAATCCTGAGACCTCCACCCGTCGTTCCTCATGACATAGTATTTAGTGATGGGCGATCCGCCATCGTCGGTTGGGGCCGTCCATGACCTGGCTGAAGTGTTGGACTGGCCGCACTTGAAATGAGAGATTCGTGATTTCTGTGATCAGCTTCTGCACTTCAACTTGCACACCTGTGTAGCCAGTAGCATGACTGATGTGACCCTCGCTAGGGGCTGCACAGTGCAATGCTGCTGTGTGAGCCCCCGGTGCGGACCAGGTTTGTGGGTGCAGCCGGAGATGCCTAGGGGCGGAGCAGCGGCAAAGCAGATGCGGCAAAGGATTTCAAACATTTTTTCATGTCAAACCACGTCAAAGCGTATGTTCAATAAGATCCGCGTAGTTCATGCTTCAACAAAATCAGCAAAGAACAAACCATACACGATTGTTGAAACATGCTCTTCACACAGAAATGCCGGATGCTGAAGATGTTCATCATCCGGTATGCTTAGCAACTCAATCTGCTAACAGGTATCTTCATCTCGGGCCCCGACAGCTGCAATCACGGAGATGTCGGAGCCGACACCAGTGAAAGAGGTCTTGGCCAGAGTTTGACAAGTCTGCATCACCACTCATCCATGACACCGCACAGACTTTGAGTTCAAATGAACCTGGTCGCACAAGCGCGTGCCTTGTGAAACCTGAAACAAAGAGCTGAGGGCACAGCAGAGACTTGCGTCTTGAAGTTGTCTGCCACAACCCGGAAGACCAGCGCCACATCTGCTGCAGAGGGCCTTCACTGAGTTGTGCTAAGGGGCCCCGATCCACTCAAGAAGAGACTGGGACTGCGACACGTAGTTGAAGGTCGTTTGCAGCACCGAAGTGGTGCTTCCCACCTGGCTCGATCAGTCATCAGCTTGCTCTGCGTCCAAAGTTCGTGGAAGCCTTGACCATCGTCGACACCGAGGTGCCAGCCAAGATCTGGGCAAAGCAAGTCTAAGCCATTGAAAGCTAAAAAAATGATGGCAAACACCAAGACTTCGCGGCTGAGCTGCAATATAGCCCAGAATGGGGCAGGCTCCTGTTTCTGTTGGCGGATCCCATCCGAGCTGGATAAGCGTGCCTGACAGGGTGAATCAGAGGCTTGCGCAGTCCACTTACTCGCCGAACTCTCTGGAACTTCTGAAGCCAGCTTGGCCTGACCGCTGTAGAACCCGAAGGTTGCCAACAGCGCCTCGACAGAAATCAGTCTAGATCCCTTGCTGGTACCACCTTGACCTACGCGACTATTAAGAAAATCAGGGGATCAACTCCTTCATCATTGCGGTGGTGGGGGTGGTGTGAGCGAGGTGATCAGCAAAGAGCTCTGTTGTGGCACGTTGTGTCGCTTTCCCAAGCCTGGCTCATTGCACGGAGCAACTTCCAGAACCTCAGCATGATAACGACACAAAGATATGCAAAGTGTTCCATCTGTCTAAAACATGCCTGGACAGTCCGAGGCTTGAGCTGCTGCAGTGCCCTCCCCCTTGGCCGTGAAGGCCTTGACCTGACCCAGCAATACTGCGGCATACTCACAATCCTGGCTGCAGCATGAAGCACAGGCACCGGCCTCTGCACGGTAGGTGTAGCCGCTGGCCAGGCCTACCTTCTGGAACGTCTGCCTTGCCAGGACAAGATTGCACCATAGAGCACGTGCAATTTACCAAGAGTCGAGTCGCTTGGACGAGAGCGGCATTGTTTCCCAAGTTCCCTGGGCCCGCGGCGCAGTGCCCGAGTACTCTTCCACCATGGCACCTCCGAGAGCATCATCCATGAACACCTCGGGCCGGGCCACCGCTACACAGGTTTCTGATGTGCGTGACGCCTGCTGGCGGGAACGTCTCTCTTAGCTACAAAGCTACAGAGGCGAGGTCAAAGATTCATGAGCCCAAGGGTGACCCTGCCTTGTAGCCCAGCACCGGCATGCCACCGGTGTCTGTGGGCGGGTCCCAAGACAAGGTCACAGATATCAACGTCGACGCCTGCCGAGGACCACAACAGCGTTCTTTGGTGGAAAGCAGTTTGTTGCATCACGCTGCAACAGCAATATGCCAATGCTGAGGAGATGACTGCTAGCGCCAGGTTTGCTGGTGCTGTCGGGTAGGTGGCGGAATAGTAGATCTGGCCAGCAGGAAACAGAGTAAGCTGATGAAGCCTGGGGCTTGGCTTGCAAGCAACGGAGCCAGCAACACCGACGTGTCGCTGCGTGTGCCAGGGAGCGAGTGTGACTCTGCCTGCAGCTGTTGTCTTGTGCAAAAGCCCCATGTAGGATGCAGTCAAATATGAGCCCGGGCCATCTGGTTCACGACGGCGACCTCGCAAGAGGCAGCTGAAACAAGTCGCTCGAAGAAGGTGGCCAGCTGAGGCGACGTGCTGTGGACACTCTGCAGACCACTGAGTTTGGAGCCTCAATCTGTAGTGATGCTCCGGTCAAGAAGGTGATGACGTCGGACATGGTGCCTGGTGCTAGCCGCACAGCTGGGTGGCGCAGCTCAGCTAGCGAAGCACGTCAACACACGTCAACACAAAGCTCAGTTGTCTCCTACGCGTGTCCTCACCATACATAAATCCATTGGGCTGGCACTGCCAATCCAAATCTGTGCAAATAGACAGGTATCAGTCTTCGTTGCTGATACCTGTGAAACTCAAGACTGAAGCCTCTCTCAACCCAGCAATCTGCAGGTCAGTGCAGGACGCCGTACTACAGCGACCCAGCATGGCACTACAGGGCTATGCCGCATCGCTTCACACTTTCAGCTAACAGCTAACACATCTGCAAAGCCTTCTCCAGCCTTAGAATCTCTGAGCTCTTGGCTGCGACCTTCGAAGTCTTGTGCTTTCACACTGCCCTTCTTTTCCATGGCTTTGCTGCCACATTCCTTGACTACCTGCTCATCCGGCTGTTGCCCACCCAGATAGTCCAGCTGCGTAGCTTCCTCTGCAAAGCCTTTCTGTGCCTTTAGCAGCTCCTTCAACATAAACTCCCGGTCATCTTTGTGTCCCAGATGCGCCAGGCGCCCAATGAGCCATTTCTCCAGACCTGCGTAGCCAATCCGAATGCTGTTAAAAATGCCTTGCAAAGACGACAAGAAGCACAAGCCGCTCGAAGGCATCTGAGGTCTTGGCTGCGGCCTTCGAACTCTTGCGTTTTCACACGACCCTTCATTTCCATGGCCTTGTTGCCGAGTTCCTTGACTACCTGGAACAGCTCATCCGGCCGCTGCCGACCCATGCGGACCAGGTTCATGGCTGCCAGGGCAAGCCTGCAAACTGCAAGAACTGACACGAAGAAGTGCAAGTATCAAGTGTCTGTCATTGTCTGTCTGTGCCTCTGGAACTCTGGGTCTTCAAGCCGCGCCCGGCGAGCCGCGCTGTCGCGGCGGCGCTGGCCCCGGCTGCAGGAAGAGGTGGTGGCATGGTCCGGGTGGTGGCAGTACTTGCAGCCAGAGAGCAAGCGCTGCTTGCATTTCTGCTGCTTGTTGCAAGGCCTGCGCACAGAAGTGCAAAACCATCTCATGAGTTGCAACCCCCAAGAAAGCTGCTTAGAGCTGGGGGGTGTACCTAATACTCGCAGCTGAAAGGCAACCCTGCCTGCAGTTTGGATGTCGTGCATCCCCACAAACGGGCAACATCGCCTTGCTAACGAAGGAAAGAGCCATGTGTGATTAAAACTTTGTCGTACAAATGCTCATCTGTGATGCAACAGCACATAGCCGGGTTTGACAAACAAGTGGCAGCCTGTACATCAGAGAAGGATGGGCTTGTGGTGCCTGCGCTCGTCGAGGCATCCAGCAGTGGGTCGCTGTCCAGGCTTGCCAAGCTTTCCAGGCTCAGACCGGAAGGCCAGGGGCCGTGCGGACACGGTATCGGAATGTACCAGAAACAAACATTTGGAGGCGTGCAAGGAAGGCAGTCCTGTGCTGCTTTGGGAGCCACAGCTCTCTCACGCGCCTGCCAGAATGGCTCATCATCAGTTTGGTGTCCATCAAGCTCTTGCTCGCTGTCGCACATGCACTAACCTGACCCTGACCCTGTCTGCCAAGAGCCTACGAGGGGAGAGCACAGGCACACCCCTTTGAGCAGCAAAGCAGCAGATAGCTCAGTTGTGCGTCGAGGCTTGAGATTTTGAAAGGACTGACAAAGAACAGATACACTGTTGATACACTGCTGTCTTGTGCCTGTGCCACTCCAAGCCAGTTTGTCAAGCGGACCAGCATCCAGACCGTCACGATACCAAACCTGCAACGGCAGACACTGACAATCATGCAAAGGAATCTAGAACAGCAGGATTCCAATTAGCTTTTTCCTTCATAACAAACTGTCATGGAAAACAGTATACAAAGGCAAAGACTATAGAATTAGGAGCCAGAGGAGATCCGTCATTCTAATCAAAAATGTTACATTTTTTGCGGTTCTTCTGTGTACATTCCTTTATACATACGCTAGATTTATTTGCAGATACACTTTCATTGCTGAGGGTCATTACAGACATGTCAATATTATATACACTGACAACTCCACCTCGCAGCAGCCTGTTGACTCCCTTTTCACGTACTGCGTTCAAAACGAGTTTGTATTTGAAACTTGGAGGGCATCGAGTTGAATTACGGAATTCCTTAGGGGTTTTAAAGACGAGTGTCTTTCATCTAACTAGAACACTTCAAGATGTCCTTCTCATACCTAATTAAGGAGGGCCCTACTTCAGCCGTACAATGGTTAACCCCAGAATACCAAATACTCAGGGCAGATCGTTGATGACGAAAGCTCGTTCATTATTAGGGGAAGCAATTCTTACGAATCAAACCTGGGCCCTAGGGTGTGAGGAATTTTTGAGCTCGCGCCGCTGTCTTGTCTGCCTCGTAGCGGAGGATGGGAGAGCCGCCATCATCGGATGGCGCAGTCCAGCTGACGACGGTCTGAGTGCCTCAGGAAGATGCAGTGTCTAGGCACCGCTAGCCGCTAGATGCGCGTTGCTCAGGTTTGCACGGGAGTTGTGGGTGAAGGTCACCCCCGTCGGCTTGCCCGGCAGCCCAGCGCAAAGCATCGTGGACTCGGCAAAGTCATGTCAAACAGATCAAAGCACACAGCCAACCCAAGGCCGCTGACAGTGTCCGAACGCGGCCCCTCGCCAGCAGCGTTCACCGCCGACACTTCGTAGTGGTACCTCGCATGTCCGCAAAAAGAAAGCTCCAAGTTGCTGGTTTACATCGACACGTCAAGGCGCACGTGGAGCCGGTGAGGAGCCCAGTCGACTCGAAGGACAAGGTGAAGCCATCATAGATGAGGTAGTAGGCGCCGCCGTCCAGGGCCTCAGCTGCTGCGCGGCAACCGCAGTGAGGGCCTAGCAAAATGGTGAGACAGCCTGGTAGAGCCTGTAGGCGGTGATGGCAGAGCCCATGTTGTCTGGTGCAATCCACCTTAGCTTAGCCCAGACATTCAACGACGCCAAAGTTCTGGTTCCACACAGGGTTCCGGGCGCGAGAGTGATGGATGTCCGTGTCGAGGTGGCTCGTGTAGGTGCTGCCATCCTTAGGTTGCAGAAAAACCGCCCTTATTCACCCTGCCACGCTGCCATGCAGCTGTCGCTTCCAGGTGCGCTGCTTCGCAGGCTCCGTGGCACAGACGGTGCTCACCTGTCACTTGAAAACGACTTGAAAACGGAACTGCAAAACCAAAACCCAAACCAACCCTCTCGAAAAGCTCCGCACGGCCTTGCCTCGCTGCCGTACTTGCCCCATCCGACAGCGTTCCGTGCTCGGATTCGGAAGACCAACGGAGAACCTGACACTGACACACAAAAGCAGCAAAAAGGCACGTGTGCAAGGGAGGCGTCCAAGGTCTGCCATGATTGGCTTGGAGATGCTTGGAGGGCTGCCTTTGGTGCAGCCCTGCACAAGCGTTGAGAGATCACCGGCAGCGTTGGTGGCCACCTCGGAGCCAAGAGGGCAAAACCGCTCGGTCGATAGGGTTGCCCTGGATGACGCAAATTCACGCCTAAGGCCGACTGAAGTGCGACCGACTGCGTGGTGCAACATACCGCAATGTACCCGTACCAACGCTTAGGTCCTCCCCGGTACACTGATTCATTTTTTGCAGATCCCATTCCCAGTTCCTGCAAGCGTGGACTCCGCGGACACGCTCCAAGGGATCATGGAGATAGTTTAGGGCGCTTGACATGGCAGGCTCAGCTCCTGACCACCGTCCAGCCCTGGCTGTTCTCGTTCATTGAGATCTCGTAGAGATCCACCTGCGATGGCACAACTGCCCAGGGGCCAAGCAAGGTATGACACCTACGTGAAAATGAAAAACTGAGTCTTCCAGGATGACTTGCAACCGGGGTGCCGCAATGCCACCATCGTTGAGAGAGGGAGGGAAGTCCACCTGGACACATGGAAATGTCAAGGAGTGCACCTCGATCTGTTCAGGCTGGCCCTTAAAAGCTCAGCACCCAGCAGCAATGTCGCCCAGCTGAGGGTACATGAAATAGATAGCTCCTGAGTTTTAGTCAGCTAGCGCAGAGCGATCAAATCTGGCAGCTGGCATGTGAGCGCAGCGCCTGGCGGGTCGGGCTCCTGAGCCACGTGCCCGCAGACTGCGTCGCTCATTCGGGGCCTAGGTATCTGCGGCCATTTGACCTGCCAAGATGTGCCAAAGCAGCTGGGCATACGGCTGCTGATCTTCCAGAGCATTGGTCTCAGTGACGAAGTTGAGCGCCGCAACTTTGAAGCAAAACGTGCCTCCAGCATCACAGCATAAACTGATTGTCTTATCAGCCAAAACTAACCGGCTTTGCAGTAGCTTCCGCATCCTTTTGTCAAACGAAGCAACCAATCCACGCGCTTTCAAGACCCGCGAGCTTTGCTCGGAGCGGTCTGACGGGTGACTCGGACAACGCAGGCCTGGGGTGTGAAGCCCTCATCACAGGAAACACGCAATGAGAGGCAGAGAAGCGGACGTCCCTAGCCGTGCTTCGCCGGCTCGGTGCCAACCATTTCCACCCTGCGACAGGCACGTTGAATCCTACCTCCATATCAACAGCGAAGTTGTAAAAACCTTCCCAGCCATCAACAGTCCAGCAAAGCTGTTCCAACAGCACCCCTCCGGCCTCCTGCCAGCCTGAGCGGGGGGGTGCACGAAAATGGCCGGAATAGGTAGATGTTGATACTAAAATCCTGCATGACCCTTGTACACTCTAGTACTGTAATCCCGTAAGGCATTAGGTGCTCTAGTTCCACGATGATAACACATAAATACCTGCGGCTTTGGCACCTTCCTTCTCACAACACGGTTTGGGTCATGGGCCCCTTCCATACTTTGCTGCCGGACAAGTGGTGAAGCGTCCCAGCCCGTGTCCTGAAAAAGAGTGCTGGGGCAACAAGCAATCAACTGCCGACGCGTCAAGTCCTTGATAAACTGTCTGATTGGTTGGTTCAGTGTTTGTGAGTGGACCGTTTCACAGTTTACTGGCTAATTGTTCCCCGTGCCCCTCGAAATCTTACACCACAGCAGCTTGGTTGTGTAAACAACCAAGACAACATGCTTGAGCACGGGCCATCCAAAACACAGCCCTCAAACGAAGACGAAATGCGCGGCCACAATAAGATAACAATATCAGTACCAAAGTATGTGTCATAATCACAATAATGGAAAATAAAATGGAAACTACTATAATATTGTTGGGGTAATATGGGGATAATGGAAAATAAAATGGAAACTACAATGGCTCATGGCACTTTCACCGAGGCCTCGCCGCTTCAGGACGGCCCTCCAGCGCAGCCGCTTGTAGTTCTCCCATAATAATCCCAGTTTCCTACTATTAGGGACCATTTATCCCCAATTAAGGGTACAAGGAGGGTCCTGGTATATAATCCCAGTTTCTACTTCATTTTCCATTGTCTTTTCCATTTGATTCTCCATTATAGTAGTTTCCATTTTCTTTTCCATTATCCCAATATAACCCCTATATAACCCCAATAGTCTGTTTGTATCCACTTCTTCTGCGTTGCGGGATGCTCGCTAGCATTGACAGAAACACTCACAACATCCAAGGATTGGAAGTGCTTCAGCCTACTGTATCATTCAGTTCCTGCGGCGTCAATCCTGCCCGCAGGCCTTGGAAGATCAAAGCCGGCAAATTCGCCGCTTTGTCTCGCATCACTTGCTGCATGCTCATTTTGCGGGACCTCTCGACCACATCCTCTCTGATGCGATCAGGCACGCCATCCAACTGTGTTCTTTCACGATGCGCTCTGTTGCCTGGCTTGATGAAGGATTGGCGTACTTTGCGTTTCAAAACTGTGCCCGGGGCTAACTGCGGCGCATACATTTCATTGACTCCTCCTTTTCTTCTTTCTCAGTGCATCCGCATTACAGCGCGGCTCTTTCATGGGTTCCTCCAGCTTCTGATGTCGCCGGACCCGGCATCTATCTGCAGCATCTGCAGCCCCCAACATGCGCGTGGGGCCACGAGATCTTTAGCTGCCTTCATTTGTTGCAAAGCCTTAGCCACATTGCCACATCCTCATATTAAAAATTCGGTTTGCTCTGCGTTCTAGATCTAGATGGCTGCACGCAGCCAATCAGCCAGGCTTGATTAAAAGGATTTCAACGTGCCGAGGGAGCATGGCAATCTGCAGTGGCTGCGCCCTCCAGATAAGCCCCTTGTCATCAGGGCGAGTGCACTAAGTTTGAGCGTCAGTTCAGCAGTACTATGGAAGGCTGACTAGTTGTAGAGTGCGCGTCCAAGTTCAATGACAAACCAGGTCGGAAGAAGGTTCCTCAAGAAAAACGTCTTGTTTTCGTGGGAGGGTGTGGTTCGCAATCACGCGCGGTTGTGACATCATGTACATAACACGAGCTTGCACCTCTTTCTCCTCCTTGCACACGACAATCGAACATGGAAGATGTGTGATGTCTGGCACGTGCACAGGTGTCGGCCGATGCATCGACATCTTGTGCGACCTACGACCGCCTATGAAACTTGACACGAAAGTTCCAAGTTGTGGGTCCTCGTCTTCCTCGTCTGCACAGCTGTTGTAGATTCGGAAGAAAAGCCTACAGTACATGCAACTCAAAGATCACAGACACTCCTCACCGCATTATAGTCGCAATGTGCCCAACATGGCAAAGAAGCGGGGTGCAGATGAGAAAGACGGAGCAGAGGACAAAGACCTGCAACACCCAAGCATGACATGCTAGACCATTGCAACATGCTCCACTTCACAAGCAGGAGTTTTGAGCTGCAGATGTCAGCGATGCCTTGCAGTATCTCTCTATGAGGATCATCTTCTGCCTGTCGAAGCAGCTGTAAACTTGCATCCAGCGATTTAAGCAGAATGGGAATCCGATAAGGTGATGAAGAGACTGCAGTGGAGTCCACGTCTTGACAGCAACGAGTGAAAGATAGTAAAAGCCCATACAGCATCACTGTCATCATGCATCGTCATTACCGCAAAGTTGGTGGCCGTTCAGTAAACCTGCCTGCCCGGAGACATCGACTCAGCCGAGACGATTACCGGCGCTTCGAAGACCTGGTAGAAACACAAACTCCCCGGTTTGACTCCTACATCTTGTAGTGCAATAGAGCCAGCAGGGTCACCTTCCAGTCCGTCTGCACCACGTTTAGCCTGCACGCGCAGGCTACTGCAAGTGATACCATAGCCATTCGTGCAAGTCAGAGTTCGGGCGTGCCTCCTCGAAGGCCCGAAAGGTTGCACCTGATAAGCCACACAGAAACCCAGTGACAGTGACGTGCCAGGATTGACCTTGAATACCCTGCACCCCTGCCTGCCGCGCGTTGCCATGCACCCTGCCTGAGCAGTAACAAGTCCCTCCAAAATTCTCTGAGAATGAAAAGATCCCTTAAAGGAAATCCACCGCAAGGGTGCTGGCCTGCAAGCTGCGTTTCCTTCAGGAGGAAGGACAGCCTCGAATCAAACCCGGAAAAAAGAAGGGAGGTTTTCAAGTCCCAATCCCGCCAGAGATTCCCAGCTCAGGGCCACGGCTGCTCAATGTCAGAAGGCTGCGGGTCGCCTCCCCAAGCAGAACGGAAAGCCGCTAAGCGCTGCAAGAAGCATGGTAGCAAACGCTGCCTAACACGAACCAGCGCACGTTCGGCGTACAGGGGGGTCGAGGCACGCTGCCCTCATAACCTCATGAGAATGGTCTGGCTGTGGGGATGAACCGCCAGGTCTGGCCATATCCGAGTGGCTGTAGAGGTCTTTGCCGCTACCGATGACCACCTCAAGCTCCAAGGGAGCAGAGTCGGCGTCCTGCGAGATGCAAATATTTGAGACCTCCGGTGCGGGATGCTGAATACAGTAGTTCTGTCCTTGTTGGCAGCCAGGGCTTGAGAAAGCCACCTGCGTGCCCACAAAGCAGTACAGGGGGCATATTGGCCACGAAAAATGGCACAGCCGGGCCTCACCAGCGAGGTGGCCGTGCCGTTCATTTCGCCAAGAAAGACTGGCGACGCGCGGAGGACGAACAATGACAGCGCCTAAGCCAAGCGACATGCCAAGCGAGACCCCATCTGCCGACATATCCCGAGGTATCGCGACATGTACATAAACGTACATACATAAACATGTTTCTCCTGAAGGCCTGACACTCCTGACACACTCCTCAATCTGAGGCAAATGCCACGCGAAAGCCAGCGAAACGGCGCTTTTGTGCAGTAACGAGGCCTTTGACCTCCAGCGTCCAAGTCCGAATCTCCTCTAGCTGCCTCTAGCTTGCGAGGGGCTCTCTGCCTCTTTCTGGAGTTTGATGGCATTTTCGGTGACGCCCTGGCTGCCACAGCCACGAAAAGGATGCGCAACGGCTTAGGTTTGGCCATTGGCCTTCATGTCTTGCTGGAGGAGCGTGCTGACCTCAGCACTGAGAGTCAAGCAGCATCCAAGAATCCAAGCATCCAAGCAAGTGGAAGGAAGTGGAGACAAGGGGCGGAGGAGATGTCCGCCTTGGCTGCGTCGACCCAATCCTGGGCCTGCTGGGAGCCTGCACCTCTTGCTGAAGCACTTGTCACTTGTGACACACACAGGAATTACAGGTATGGCTTACATGGTCGTGCGGAGAAGGGGTCTGCCGGCCTTCGTTATCATTGCTGGTCCATGGCGTGTTTTCGCCGTTGAGCTGCTTCCGCAGCGTGGCCTGTGACCGGTCCAAAGCCGCGAAACGGCTCTCCGAGTCTTCCAAGGCCTGGCTGAAAAGGAGCCGCAACATATGACAACCACCACAACTTTAATGAAGTGCAAAGCCGCTGGCGGCTCCTCTTACCCTTGACACATACACACGCACATCCAATGAAATCAAGGCATGTGCCTGGAGCAGCTCCTGCGTGTGCTGCAGGAGCTTGTTGGTGCGACTCACAGGCATGGGATCCTAAGTCCAACATAGTCCAACATGCAGGTCAGTTGCACTATTGAAAATCAGCAGTATACTCATCGAACCGGAGTCTCCCAGAGGGCTGCGCCGCAAAATACCGCAAAAGCCGTGGCAGTGAGTAACATCAGCAGCAGGCAGAATAAGAGGTCTTAAAGAAGAAAGGCAGAAGGCAACAAGGGCATGAGCGGAAGGCACAAAACCAGCAACACCAGCATTGGCACGACCATCACCAGGACTGCGACCAAGACTACTGCCACTACTGCCACCGCAGCCGCCCGTGACACCGCTGCTCCTTTTCTTACGTTTACCACTGCCGTGACGATCCCAATCCGTACCAAGCACGCCTGCCGGCCACTACGCGAACATCCGCAAGGAAAGTAGGAGACTTGTCTGTGCGAAGTGCAGCCTTGTGGCATGCCAAAGCTGCACTTCCAGGGCCCAGCTGGCCTTGCGAAGCGTGTGTTCGCTGGGGGCATGCACCTTTCAGGGTCACAGGAGAACGACAAGCATAAGCCAGCCACCCAGCATGATGCAACACCTCGATGGCTGAAAGGCTATATTCGTCAAAGTCATCGTAGCCACTGCCGATTTGCACCTGATCACGGTGCGGCGCTGTCTGAATTGTTGTAATGGGAGTAAAAAAGGTTGAAGTTAAAGTGTCAGCATGTGTGATGCTGAGACCATGTGGGTAACCCCAAAGCAGGGCCAAAAGTCAACTGGTCGTTGCAAGGAGGAGAAACATCCTTCGAAAAGTCACAGGCCGGACCCCATCCGGCAGTAAAGCCTGATCTGCACGGCTGGCCTTGCCAATGGACCGCCCTTCTTTGAAGCGAATCCTTGGCACACCGTCGGAGTCGACCCCCGCAGACTCCACGTCCTGCCGTTGCCACCACAAGCACATGCACCGCCCAAGGCAAAGGACTCTCCTCCAAGCGCAAGGGCCGATACAGCATGCGGATTTCGAAGTCGCCTGGGATTCGCAGACGTGCACAATGCTGCAGGTGCTGTTCTGGCAGGGCACCCTTCAACGCATGCTTGGGCTCGATGTCGATCGGGCTTTGAAAGTGGCCAACGCAAAGCTGGCCCCAAGAGCTGTCCTGTGGCAAGGAAACCGTCAGAACTGTGGAGATGCAACCTGCCGCATGAAGTGCCTGACGGGTATAGTCCCAGGAGCCCGTGTCGGCCTCTCTAACGCTCCAAGCATCTCGCACGTTCAAGAAGGTTGCAGCAAAGCAAGTTTGTTCCGTAGCCTGCCCGAGCCAAACAAGGCCCGCAAGCCGCAGCATCGTGGAAAACCGTGTATACAGGTGCTAACGGGGACTGGACTTAGCTGCTGGAGGGTTGCGAGGGAAAATCCGTCAACCAATATGTCAAAGGACCCTGTGGAATTTCAGCTTGCTCACAGTTCAGATCGCAGTGCATGTTTGCCAGCTTGTATCCAGATATGACATGGCTGCGGGGCCGGGCCACGTCTTCAGCAGAACGAACTTTCCTTCAAACGACAAAGCCAGGCAGCAAGAAGGGATCAAGCAGGAGAAACCTTGCCTCCAACAGCCAGTCGGTCCACGAAGGCAGTGGTCGTCAGGCTGTTCGTGTCGCCCCAGGCCCTGAAAGCAGAAGCTTGCATCTTGCCATGACGCACGCAAGCGAGCACGAAAGGTCCAGTGCATTGGCACTTTCGGTTCTGTCAGCGCCAGTGTTGGGGCATGTCCTCCATGCGGGTCCGCTTCATTGGCGACCGAGCACCCCCCCAGTCCCAGGCACCGGAACCAGAGCTGGAGGAATTCGAGGCAAAGGAAGTGAAGGCGAAGTGCGATTGATTGAATCTGGTACTCTCAGCAGGCTTCTGCTGCGGCGGATCCACCGAGATACAGAGGCGGCTGGGCTGGCCTGAACGCACCTCGATCCATCCACTTTGTGGTGGCTCGGCGGTGTCGCAGGGGCTGTACGCCCAGCCTGGGTGGTCCACGGAGTCAGAATCATTCAGGCGCCCAAGCCACCAACCCTTCCAAGAGCTCCCGTTCCTGTCGTCCCAAAAGAAAAGGCAGACCCTGGGCTGACTGGGAGCCGCTTCTTTCCAGTAGATTGGCCTTCTGTGGTGTTCATGCCACTGCTTGACGTAGGTGCCAGCAAGCAAGTTGCCCACGAAGCTCTGGCATTCAGGTTCCTCCACGTGAAGAAGGTATTGGCAGCGCTGCTGCGTGAAAAGCGCCTGGGAGCAGAAACGTTCCTCAACGTTCTTGGCCAGCTCCTCAGCTGTGGGCAAACCACTGGATTTCCCCAAGCCATCTAATACCCCTCCAAACAATCAATGCTGGGACGAATGACTCACCCCAAGCACCGTTGCAACACGCAAAGAAGGAATCTACCGTCCCATGTACACATTCAGTCAGTCACTACGCCCCTCTAGAATTCCTCGTGACCCCTGGTGGGCATCTGGCGGCATCACGCTGTTCCTGCTTCACCAGCCTGGCGCTGTCGCGGTGCTTCGCAGGATCCGCATCGCAAGCCTCCTACTTAGATTTACACCTCAATCGTCGTCGCGGCATCATGATGGGCAAGGAGTACTGGCACATCGAACAGAGCCCCCATTTTCCAACCCTCTTTATCGCCCGCACCCGGCAGGTCAGGGCATTACAAAATCAAAAGCTCAAAAGCCCTTCCCGAAACAGCATACACTGATGTGCCAGTTATTTATTCCAGGAACTCTTCTCGGGAAGATTTTAAGGGGTGACTATCCATCGTCTCCTGAACCAAGCCGGCAATCCTACGCAGCGCGCTTGTTCCTCGTGATGCACTCCTGAGACAAAACTTTCAGACAAGGCTCCTGACCCAGGAGCCTGTAGCCACTGTCCGACAAATGGTGCTCATCGCCTGGACACGAAGGCATAAGGCAAGAGCACTTTAAGGTGCTAGACTCTAGACCCGGAGTGCTGCTTCATGATGCTTGCGGTCATGTTGCGCCAGTGGCAAGGCTTCAAACCTTGCAAGAAGGAGTCAAGGTGGATGATGTTGATGCAGCTGCTTGCTTTGAGCAGCTCATGGTTCACCATTTGGCAAGTTTGGTCAGCCTCTGGCCAGGCTTGCCGCTCGCTGTCGTGTAAGTACACGGAGCATTGACAAACCTCCACGCCACGAAACTCCAGGAGACGATGCAGCTTTGTTAAATGACCTAGAATTTGGGATGCATTTTGGTCATAGAGATCATTGCTCCCCAAACAAATAACGACCACATCCAGCTCCTCGTCCCTCGACTCTTCAGAAAGTGGCCGGATTTTTTGCTCGCGAAGGGCGGAGCGTTGGTCATACTTCCAGGAGTATCCCTTCTTTGCAAGCTTGGCCACATCTCTGAGACGGCAGAGTGAGCACAGGGTGAGCAGCGCATTCGCTCGAGTACCGGGGAAGCCTGCGAAGACGAAGTCCACTTGCCCCAGACGTTGCCGTAAAGCAGCCTCCATGGCCCATGCCGTGTGGGACTTTCTTACACGCTTCCCATCACTCTGGTACAAATCCGTGACCCAGCTGTCCCCAATCAAAGCAACCCGCAGAGGCCGAGCGAAACGCATCGCAAGAGGCGAGGGCTTGCCAAGAGCGCTCTATAAATCAAGCATTGTCACGCATTGCACAGGATCGCCCTGAGCCTCAAACCAATGCTGCGGTGCTCCTTCCTACAATCCCTTCTCAAAACCCCGATCTTCCAGTCATGGATTCTCCCAAGCGCCGGGCGTGTACGGCTGATCCACGCCACCAACGAAGATGCGATATCCAGTGACCGGCACCTGCGCGGGAGCAATATAAACTAAGTGGATTTGAGTTTCTGTTTGATCTGCATGATCTGCGCCCAGGCAAATCTTGACGTGTTTTTTCAATCAATTTTCTTTATGCTGTGTCTCCAGAAAGTCCGCGAAGCTGCGCAAGGCCTGAGATCAGGAATGAATTTGCAAACCCTCACAATAGCAATAAGCCCAGGATGGAAGTCCAGAAAACTCCCTACACAATTCCCATTTTTAGACGTCTTGCCCTTGGCCCCTGGAGAACCCTTCTGCCCAAAGGCGCTAGGCGCAATTTACAAGTTCACTCTGAAACCTATACCTATGTGTATATGTCTACAGATATGTACATGGACATATATATATATATATTTATCACTATAATTCAACATACATAGAAACGTCTGATTGCAGGCCAGATTCCGAGTTGTGGATGGAGTGGTCAGCATCCGGGAACTCATGGAGTCGAAGTGCAGGATGCATAGAGGCCATGTCCTGTTAAAAAGCAGCATCTTACGTATAGTAAAGACATGTTGGCTATGTCATGCAAGTCATGCACTGCACACATTATGTAGATAACAAGGTATCACAAGATATAACGCAACATGCTCTAATGTAGTATAACATGAGATACCAGTATGATATATCATATGTTCTCAATATTGTACATTTTACATTTGCAGGGGCGAGCTGCGTGCAGCCTAGGTTCATTCAAGCCTCCAGGCACCTTGTCCCAGAAGCAGACGGTGCCAGCTGGACCTGCAGAGCTATCATCAGCTATCCACTTCTGTTCTCACGTTGCCTGTCGAAGTGGTTCCATCAATGTGTCCTTCGACTGGCAGCATGAGTTCTTGCAACGTGTGCTTGCATGCGATTACCTTCTGTATGCTCACGAAGTCACCATTTGTTCATGATCGCTTGTATGTTGCGAGCTCATTCAATTTCGGAACTGTGGACACGCGCTCATTTCATGCTCTGCCTGCCACACAGACGTGAACCGGAAACTTTGCAATCCCCGACTGCGTGATAGCTGCGATCTTCTGCATGCTCTCATAACCTCGGGCACGCGACGTAGCTTTCGAAACACCTTCTCGATGCTGGATAGCATGTACTGCAATCACTGGTCATGCGGAAAGTTCGGCCAAGTGGCCATGCATGGAGTTGAGGACCGTTCGCCTTGCAAGATACCTTGGACAGAGGTGATCGATCAGTTTGGCAAGATGCACATGTCATCCGATCTGACCAAAACCTAGGCAAGGGCTGCGCGTGTGGATTGATGCAGCTCCAAACCTCAGCAGCAAGTGGATTGCTGATGTGCCGGTCCTGCATTCCATCCGAGCTTGCAACGCCAGAGCCGCGTGGGTATACTCGCGGGGTGGAACTTGACCACCAGCCATCCACACGATCGGCATCGTAGCCTCCAGCCAACTGCAGTCTTCTGAAAGCTGCTGTGAGCGTACAGTCTGGCTTTCATGTCATTCGGTCTCCAGCATATGACCCTCAGCAGTCCAAACTACTGCAGTACCTTTGCTTGGAAGGAGACTGAACAGGAAGCGGCGCTGGCAGATTTCGGAACACAATCTTGATGCAAAATTTGAAGTTAAAAAGACTGTTAGGGGCAAGTTGCACGAGCTGTGCATCGTAGCGTAAGCATGACCACTGAAAAACGCAAATTTCGCTACCAAGCCGTGCTGCAAGACAAGCCGACTGGCAGCGCAAGTACCACAGAAACGCAAAAGTTCAAGTAAAGGCCGCCACCAGCGAGACACTGCCACCACCACCGACGCCACCGCCACCACCGCTGCGGACCGTGCGCACAGGATTCGTCGTGGCTTGCAATAGGCTCACATTAAGGGCGGCAAGGCACCGTAGGACATCAGCTCGTTCTTGGCACGTTCCTGAGCATGTTCAGCTGTGCTGAGGCGCCCAGTATGCCAGAAAGCTGTGAGCCGAGTGGCCCAAGACGGAAACTCGCGAGAGAAGTCTTGGCGCTTCTGCAGCTCGTCCCCCTCTAGTTTGGCATAGACGCGCTGAACACAGTCCTGGGTTGACTTGCGCATGCAGCGTTGCACACCATGTGGCTCATACGAACTGAATCCAGGCCGCCATATCTTCGATAACTAAAACGCACAAGTCTTCCGGATAGTCCGCAGCATACCTCCGCCAAGCAGCAAGGCATGTCTTTGAGGGCAGGACATGCTTCAACCATCTTCCATCTAGCTCCACTGAGACCAGCACTGCATAGCAATTCGCCCACCCATACTGTGCCCAACCAGCGCCACACGCGAGTCCAGCAAGCCCGCGGCCTGCACAGGTGGGAGAATTCTGGATTTCCAAGCTTGCACAAAGTCCCGCCTGGAGCGCTGCACGCACGTCTGCCGCCAGCTGCTGCGGTGAGAAATCCTTCGGGTCACCCAAAGGAGACTCTCCGTGACCTCAGGGGCATGGATGGACAGCCGTCGCTTTCCGAATCTTGCTTTGCGCCTCGAAGGTCGACTGCAAAGGTCTTAATGCCGCGCTTCGCGAGCTCATCCATAAGCCCTTGCCAAGTGCCTAACCAGTCCGCTATCCCGCCACTCCAACAGATCAGATAAAACTCCCTTGCCTGACCAGGAGTCCAAGCCATGGATCAAGACCACTGTGGGCTTGGCCGCTGTTGTTTCTGGAGCCGCCGCGCGAGATGCCAGTGGCACAACTCCATCCGGTGCGGATGCGCAAGCACAAACTCCGCGCCCTCGCTCTGGGCCGCCCGTCTTCAGTACCGCTGCGGCTGCAGCCACAGCTGCCGCGAGCAAAGGTCTCCTTGCAAGCTCAGTGAAGCACTGTGAAGGATACAGGCGGACAATGGGCAGGTGATTCCATGTCACCCAACAGCCCGACATTCGGCAACTCCTGCATTGCCGCCCAGCTGACGGGGGAGCGCGCAGGAAGATCTCAGCTTGAGGCCAGCGTCTGGAGAGACGTCTCCATGATGCTGTAGCCGCAGCTGCGCGCGGCACCGAGAGCTGCATTGCAGACGTAGCAGGCACAAAGGCACAGCAGGCACAAGCGCTATGGGCGGTCCCTTGAGCAGATCGCCAATCTTCACGCCCCACAGTTTAGCTCTCTACTACAACTGTCCGTGTGGCGTTGTCATGGCGAATTTTGAGTTAGACAAAGGCAAGATGGACTTTGTGCAAAGCATTGGGAGGGCACCCCTCCGTTCAGATTGCTGGGAACGCCATCCCAGATCAGTGTGATGCCGCTAGCCTCGCGATGTCGTGGCACAACATCCGGCACGGGGGATCCCACTTGGACCCCAAAATGCTATAAGATGCTCTCATCCTGAATATAGGAAGCCCCAAGAGGGGCCACGGATTTTTGGAAATCCCACATAACCTAGCTGACCCAGGGCCGCTGCGGACATCGTGGTGATGGCCAGGTTAATGACCTCGTCAAAGGCTGCAGAGGGGATACTGGGTCACATGCATCGTACTTGCCTGCCCCTTCATTCCCCTAGTGATCTGTTGTTTGGCCAACTTCCATTCTAGCAAGTTCATTGCTACCATTCTGTCCTTTCGCCTGCATGTGTTTGGTCATTCTTTGTTGCCGTCTTTGTTTTTGTTCTCTCCCTCTTCATCTTTGTAAAGACAGGGACCAGCCAAATCACGCCAGTCAGACAGAACCACAAACTCCTCCGCTCCGCATTCCAACGCAAAGATGCTCATCTCCATCACTACAACACTCGTTTACATTGCAGGATCAGCACCGGGCAACAAACTCTCTCGTTTCCTACAGTTGCTATCATTGCGGCTACATGCTCTGTTCATACTGAAGTCTGAGTGTAGAAGGCAATGGACAGGGCTTCAACGCAAAGCTGTCAAGCTCCGGGGGTGGCACCTTCGCCGGGGCTTCGGCAGCCACCACAGTCAAAGTGGCTGTGGAAGGCGAGTTGCCCACCTCTTCAGGTTGCCCACATGACATACAACAAGCGTGCATGCGCGCATGCCTTTTGCGATTTCATGACTTCATGTCTGCATATGTACACAAGCCATGACTATCATCAAGGCATAGCATGTCAACAAATGCCACAACTCCATGTGGGTTTGTGCCTGGAAGCCTTGAAAGGGGGATATCCCATGTCAAAGCAGCATGGCAGCTCAGCAGCCGACACGCGAAGTTGCCCATACGCTGAAGGTGTAGGTCTGCCAGCACGCAGCAGCCAAACGCACTCTCAAATTTCTGAGCAGATCAAGAGGCAACGGAACCCAAATCACTGTCAGCTGACGGGCATGCTGTAGGGCCCACCGTGCAGGATCCCATTCCAACGAACCTAAATTCTACATGTCTCCAGCTTCCTACACGTTGAATCTACCCCTCCTTTCCCAGCAGCCAAGGTTCAGCTGTCTGGAGCTCGAGGGGCGAGCAGGGCTCAGCACTTCACAGCAGCAGGGACCATGCATGATGTGTTTTGTGCCATGACCAGGTTTGATGCAACCACCAAGCATGCAGTGATTCGTACCATGACCAATGAGGAGGAGGGAGGTTTCAGGCAGCCATCAAGCATGACATTCATCCTACCATCATTACACGAGGGCCGCAAAGATTGCAAAGAAAAAAGAGGGTTGATGCAGCCACCAGGCATGATGTTATTCGGAGCATTGCCGCGCAAACCTGATTCGTGGCAAACATCATTCGTGGCCATCCATGAGCGGATCTAATCCAGCGTGTGGGCCAATCCCATGAACCTTTCAAATCTTTCAATCCCGGCCTAAAAGCTCGCCCTCACTCCAACACTGTACTTTCCTGCCAGCTCCTTAATTCTGACACTATCAATCATCCACTGCTGTCCGAACCACGTCCGCCCCTCTGCTGCGCTCGTGACTTGGACGCAGAGTGCAGCCACAAAAACACAGGCGCAACTCTTCACAAAGGTGCCCAGGAATTGCTGGCATCCAAGCCACGTCAAGTGTGTGGGGTAGGCGGTAAGGAACCCACGT